CGTACGTACGTACGTACCGTTACTTACGTTTTTTCTTTCTATAGCCTAGTTAGTAGTGTGTCTTCTCTTCGTTTCTACTATATATATATATATATATATATATATATATACACATCATTTTTTTTCAGATGAGTAAGGGTATACCTGGTTCAGAAGTAGTGCGGTTTCCCACATCAGATCTTCGAATCTGACTCTCTAGTCTTATGGCATGTCCTTCAGAAGCTCTCAAAGGATACTGCTTTTCTTCCCTTGCACTGGTCCCACCACCTATTCAATGTGATATTCTAGCTATATATGTGAACGGAGGTAATGTACTGTATTGGAACTTATAATTTTCCTGTACTGAAAATGTATTTCCAAGAGGTACTTGCCTCCCCTCACACTTCCCACCCTTCCTCCTCACTGAAAACTGGTGCTTCCATTTTCTGCCAAACTTCAAAGTGATAATTTGGTAGATTTGAATAGAGGGAGTCACATGCATAATGAGAGTGTGTGGTTCTCTCCTTGGTGGAGGGTTGTCGCATGATGATTTGCATGAGAGACACATTGGAATGAGTCATTTCCAATAGAGGGGAGGCAAAAGGCTTGTGGCATGTGTAAAAAGCTTTTTTCATATAGAGGGCAGCACCGAATGAGAATAGCTCATTGTGTGAGTGGGGGTAAGTACCTATTGGAAAAACATATTTAATATAGGAAAATTATAACATATGTTTATTAGCTGGTTACACAGATTAACAATAATAATTATAAATAAAATGTAAACATAATTAAAATATTTCAAATACATATATCTGTTCTGAAAAAGATCTAGGTAAATCTTTATTGTTCCATTAAAATACACTAGCATAAAGGTTTCATACTTTCTCAATTTTGAGCCACTGAAGATTGTAATGTTTCTTTTTTTTTTCCTATCCACAGGACTGTTGCATGCAGCTGACAGATGAGCCAGACAAGAGATGTTACCCACTTGATGGCCACCTTTTGTGTCATAACTGTCACCTTCGTAGATTGGACGTCATGGGCCACAGTTCTTCCCTTTCAACACAACATTCCCTTCAAGTCAGCGACCTGTAACCATAGAGAACTAAATATGACTCCCTGTACTGTTTCTGAGCAGAATATTTGATGTTTAGTATACATAGTCTTAGTAGTTGTGACAGCTTTGTTTGGCTGAAACACTACTGAGACAGTAGTATGCAATACTGTAGATTGTAGGATTACTTGGCCCATTTACCTGTTACTTCAATGAGCAACAAAATGTATGCTCCCAGTTTTTTGTTAAATCGATTAAAAAGCTATAGGATTTTAGAGCTTTATTAAAAAAAAAAGAAAAGAAAAAAGAAACAAAAAACTTTTTATCTCTCAAAACTTTCAGTTCAAGTTCCTTTTGGTAGTGTTAAATTAGAAGGTTTCTGTGTGAATATTTTACATTTTAAGTACTGTTTAAGCTTAGTAGGTAGCTTGTAGTTTAGCTTTTAACATAGTTTGTTTTCTTGATCAACAGTACGGAGCGTGAGTTACTCATATGAAAATGTAGTATACTCTTGTTTGAAAGAGAACAACTTAAGATATTGAGAAGCAAAAGCCCCAGATCCTACTTTAATAGTACCTTTATGTGTTAGAAGTATGATGAATGATTACTTGAAAGTGGCGCTGGAAGCCTAATTTTTTGTTTGTAGTAAAGGATTGAAAAAGTTCATATTACTTAAAATCTGTGTAACGTTTTGTACATTTCGGTGTTAAAATCTAATACTAATTAAGGCATAATATGACTGGCCATAAAAAAGAGTCTTAAACACTATAATTTTCCTTCTTTTTGATATATTCTTATTCATTCAGAAATTAAAATTCAAGTCTATTTTACTTATAGTTTTTCATTTTGCATAAAAGCTGCTTTTTGTTTGTTAAAAGAATGAAGGAATGAAATATGCAGCATCTAGTATTAAGATTGATATAGAATGTTGGTTAAGATTGTTATATTCTTGTTTTCGGAACCACTTTTTAACTTTTCATGCAATTTCTTCCAGATATATTTTATTTATTAGTATTTTTCAAAGTATCATTTTGTTTTTTGCATGCATAAAAAAGGTATTTATGAATAAGACTTTATAACAAACTTTTGTTACTGTTGGAAATATCCTTTCTAGTGAACTAATTTTCATGACAGAGTCAAAAACTATTTAAAGTTTATACTATTTTATTCAGATCTTTCTCTTGTGTAGTATAACAATGAAACCATTTGCAAAAGCGGCACTAAGAGCAATTTCTTTGTGAAGTGTTTGACTTGTACCTGTTTCTTTAAACTGAATTTTTAAATTGAAATTGGTAAAAAAAGTAATTTCATTCAACTTCATATGAAGGTATAAAAACTTCATCTTGAAGTTTTTTTTTATGTAGTTGTAGAACTACTTGGCATGTTTTTCATGTTATCAAACATTCCAGAGTTTGTACTAGTAATTTCAACTTTTATTTATTTAGTAAGAATTATAGGTTACTTTAGTTTCTATCAACTTGTGGTGTAGTTAAGAGTTTCTTTCAAAAAAACAGGATTACCTTTAGTGTGATTTAATAATAATCATATCAATTGCTAATGATGTCCACCTAATATCACTGTGTACGTGATTACTGCAACATTACATGATGTACATTTGGTTTTAGCTTGTTCTTTTACTTGCATTTGGCTTGTTATGCACACATTTCATCTGATTACAGATAAGATAGTTTTAAAAATTCAACCACATATCATGCATATGTTCTAAACAAAGAACTGATTCTTATCTGTCAGGTGGTAGTAGAACTCTAAGCATTGTGTTCATGTTTTGAATGTGTACGCACAAAAGAGGATAAAAATATTTGGCCAAATACATAGACTTGTGTTTATGGGGAAAGATAAAAGCCATTACATGTGTATGAATAAAACTGTGTGAATGTTTGTATACTAACAGTGGTTACCAATAAAGATCACTTAATATTTCTTATTATAGTTTTGACTAAAGACATCAGATGTAAAGCTGTGCAGATTGGCATAGCTAATCTTACTGTCTTCATAATAGCGAGTTTATCACAGTTTAGAATGATCACACAGAAATTTATTACCTTCTTTTTTTGCAGTATTTGCCAACATTTATGTATTAATGTAACTTTGTTACTCTTGTGTTTTCATTTAATTAATTTTCAGATAGCTTTTGCTGAGTTGGATCTTTACTTTATCTAGTTCATGTTCTTCTTTAAATCTTTTATTAGTTTCTCATTATTATACAGTGCACTTTATATAGGTTCAAGTAAAAGCATGATACCTATAAAAAGAAATTTAGAGCATATACTTATATTAGTTCATGTTTTTTAAAGCATTATTAGTTTCTCATTATTATACAGAGCATTTTATAAAGGTTTAATTAAGTAAAAGTATGATAAGTTTTGTAGGTATTTTGGTTTGAAAAGAAAAGGGAATTTACTTGTATGAAATTAGGAAATGTTAGCACATAATGGATGTGGCCACATTCAAATGGACCCCCCCCCCCAAAAAAAAAGTTCAAGTATCCAGTTAAGTCAGTTTCTGCAGTAAAAAATAATAAATGTTTGAGTTTTGTCAAATTTGTTCATTCCCATAATATATAATTTTGATTTTTGAAAAAGGTCAATTTCTGTGTCAATTAACCAAATTTTTTTCTGTGTTATGTAAGAGTATAATTAATTGAATTTCTAAAGCATGTGACCATTTTTTTTTGTATCAAGTTTTACAAGATTTTTTTTTAATGGTTAAAGTAAATTTTCCAACTTAATTTCTGAATGAGTGTTATGAAAAAATTGTGATGGAATACACAAGTGTAATCATGGTCAAAATTGAGCAGTTTGTGCAGTAAAACTTCAAATAAACGAATTTGAGAACACAAAATTCTTTTTTTTTCTTCAAACCTATCAAAAGAAATATAGAACATATAACACTTTCAGTTTCTAATTTCTGAAGCATTTTAGCTGTTTAAAGGTTTTTTGTGCACAATCTTTTCAGCATATGTTCATTTGAAGTTCTCATAAAACTGAAAGCAGGCATAAAGTGAATTATTTTTCTTGTTTTTAATGTAACAAATCTTTACCAAACCTCAGAAAAGATAAAAAAAATTTTATTGTCATTAGATAAACTCATAACAAAGGTGATATCTTTTAGTAATCATGATTTGGAAAAACTTGTTTTCTTGTTTGATATGATTTATCCCTACTCATAAATATACGATATCTCAGCAAGAATCTATGCCATAACTGTGAAAAGGGTATAGATTTCTGTGTGAAGGAAAATTACTATTTGAAGAAAGATTTCAGACTACTTTTTACAACCAATCAAGTTACTTAATATATGGGGTAATCTTTTTCTTGAGTATTTATGTCCAAAAACGTACATAGAAAGTTCCAAGATTGATCTTTTTGTAAGATGTTTTTTATGATAAGTTGAGTCATTTTAATATGTCTTTCTATGAAAACATTTAACTTTGAAGTGCTGTGTTATGTGACTATAGTGTTCATTAATTGTCCTTATGAACTCTGCAAGAAAGATGTTAACTGCAGCATTTTTTTCAGTAAGATAAGTGGAAAGTAATATATTTATCTCTTTAAAGGATTTATATTTGTATTCGTTATCTGAAAGTCTCACAATGTAAAAGATATGAGCTTTTAATACAAAGAAGTATGGAGAAAAATGTTTTTATCTTTAGCTATCACTCCTGAAAAGTTGAGATGGAGCCATTTGTAACATCTTGGGCAATACTAGGTCACATAGTAGAAAGGAAGAAAATTAGATTGTGAAGTACTTATCTTCTTAAAGTCTTAAGATTGTTGAAAAAGTATAAATCATATGATGGGCCTCATTCCTCTTAATTACCATGATTAAAGTTGTATATGTGTGTTTTAGTATTGGTTTGTATAAGGAGTATCATAACAGCATGAAAATGATGTCTTTACAGTGTAAAAAATGTTAGTTTGTTAACAATGCTTTGTTCTGACATAAGATGATTTTTTTTGTTTAGGTATGAGAGGTACATTTTCATCTCATCAAGAAAATTTAATTGATACACAGTAAATTGTGATAGTTTTTTCTTTATTATTTCATAAATACAAGTATGATTGTGTTAATCACTAGTAAGAAATGATTGTTTAATTATGTGATTAAAAAAGAAAAACATGACAGAATTCACTCTGAGTATTAATTCCCTTGTATCTTTATAAACATTAATAGTAATCTACCGATAAAATATAAAAAGTGAATTGTAGTATGTTGCTACTGTTAAAAACATAAAGTATTAACCCAATGTTTGTTTACTCACAACTGGCATCAAAGTTTGAAACAAAGTACAAAATAAGATATAAACATTAGAAAATTGCTAATATACTCTGTATGAAATTTACGATCTTCAAAGTATAATCTCCAAAATGAGAATTGTTAAATATGCTTCTTACTGTTGTGATTGAAGAATACTGGTCTGAGGCTACTGCTTTGAGATTTATATGCTATAAACATATTATTTTAGTATAGGAAAAATTAGCAAAATAACTCCATTCAAAGAACAAAATAAAATACAAAATTTATTTCTAAACACATCTATCTGTGATGAAAGGTGCTCTTTAACAAAAGATTAAGCTTTGGTCAAGACAAAGATAGTAAAGGTGATGCTTTTTAAATGAACATACAATGTAAAGTTTAATAATGTATAATGTCTTAAACTTGGCTTTATTACATGAGCTTTTTGAATTAAAAGTGAACTATCCTTAGATATAGTGAAGTTATACCCTGGCAGATGGTTGAGAAACTAAGGTTAAACAGAATTTTTTTCTTTCCTTTACAGCATAATCTGTATAAATTACTGTCACATTTACTTAATTCTCACTGTATTACTTGACTTGCTTGATATTCTTTTCTGCAGTTTTTCTCTAACTTTGCATTTTATGTTGTTCACTATGAGGCTTTTGTTTGTTGTTAAATTATAATGTAAAAAAACCATAATAGTAAAATGTCTGTGCATAAATTATTCATGTTTTGGTGATATTAAAACACTCAGAAGTAAGATTTATTTCATCATAGTAAGTTTGAGGATAATTCTTTATTGTATGCTGTATGTGTGTGGTTGTTGAAATAGAGTAACTACTTGCATCTGCTTTAATAGGTTGCTAAAACAAAACTAAATAATTTAAAAAAGCAAATATATACACCTCTTCCATTAAGCAAAATGACAAAACTGATGTCCCATTTTCAAAGGTCAAAGTATATTTGTCTACTTTAATAAGCCTTTCGTACAGTAATAGTTGTAGAATTGTTTTCTTGTGTTTAGTGTGTTTTGATATATTTTTTTTCATTCATCACATTTTTACCCTTTTTCTTTTACTGGCAAAGTGTGAAAGAACCAAAAAAAACATTTGTTAGGTAGTAGATTTTCAAGAAAACTCTCATTTCATTTCTATAGTAACATTGTGAATTACATTTAAAATAAATATACTGGGTAAGGTTTTAATAACTACAGACATTCCTAGTGCAGATAAATCTTTGTCCTTGATCTTTAACATTTTTAATGTCTAATTGTAAAAAAAAACATTCTTTGCATGTATTTTACCTGTTCAGTTACATAGAAAGACACTTTTAATTAGCTTTTTACATTGGTGGTTAACTAGAATTAAAAAATGGTAGAGCTTAATGTAAAGAGCTGGACATAAGATTACAATTATATGTTTATGTACACATACACAGAGAGAAAGAGATAAAGATACAGTTTTTTTATACAAGAAGAGTTTGGCAAAAATAGGACATTCTCTGTAGAAAAAAAAATTCACATTTTTCCAGTTTATTATCAGAGTAGTACAGAAGTTAACAAACGTAATTTCAACATTTGTAATCATCATCCATTGCTCTGTGGAGTACTATTTTGTGTCCCCCCATCCTTGTATAAATATCTTTATTGTTACTATAATTTTATAAATGTAGTAATATGAGTGAAACCCTTGTACTTAACAGATTTTCAGTTGAATTTACATTTGCTGAAGTAGGTGTAAAGTAAAAACAATTTCTGTTTGAAATTAAGCATTTGGGTTATTTTCATAGCTTTAATTTATGGAAAGAAAAATCTTAAAACTGTAATTATAATTCATTTAAATGAATGATACTTATAGTTTACTGTGTCACCTGATTTCGTCTGTAAAGAAAGAAAATATTGAAGTGTGAAGAAATTGAGTTAATAATGAAGAGTGTAATGAAGATATTTTCGTAAGTAGAAACTAGAAGGAAATGCTCTAGTTGTGTTTGCTGCTGGAAAAAAGTAGTACTTGTGATAAAAAAAAAAAAGAAGAAAAAAGTGACCACAATAGATGATGATAATGGGTTTATTGTAGGAAACAAATATTTAAAAAGTCAGCTTGCAATTAAGTAGATATTTCTAAGCATTTTATATGTATTAATTGCATTATTTACAAATGTAAAAAATGTGGTAGTTCATGATTGTTCTGTAGTTTTAATACATAAATTAGCTAATTGGTTGACATGTAAAATCTCACAAGTCTGTCATGGCCACAATAAAATAAGCTCCTTGGACTGAATGTTAAGAACTGGTATTTTTTTTTACAAGTTTCTAAATGTTTGTATTAAGGTGCGATTTTTTACTTCTTTTTTCTGGATTATTCAACTAAATTAGCAGCATTAAATTTGTCCATGAACACTACAGTGAATTTTTTTTTAAACCCAATGTTGATGTTCAGTTATTGAAAACGTTTTCTGATTTACCTATTAAAAGATATCTGATTTCAAACACAAACAATATTGTAGCTGTATTGTTTCTTATCATTAGCATATTACTTAGGCAATGACAATTTTTCAATTTTCTAAATTTGGTATTTCTTGCTAATGAATAGATGTTACACAGGTGATCCACAAATAACAAGAATCAAAGGGTTTAACTCAGCTGGATAAATGGTGACAAAACAGAGTTTAGACAAATACACAATCATTATTTGAAGTTACTGAATGTCCATAACAAATTCATATTAAACAAAATGATGTCTCATGGAAGGTAAGCTAACAAAATGCAGAAGTGGAATTGAATTGGTAAAAGTGACTTGGAATTTGATATTCAGTCAGAGTAACAAGTGATATTGCTTATGATGATTTATCCAGTCACAATAAGAATGCATTGGTAACAGGCAATTTCCCCTTCCTCCTCCATGCAATTGTTATCTAGGTAGCCTTAAATGGAGCAGTATGGACTACCAATAAAGTGGCAGACAGTCTTTAACAGTACTCACTGTAAATGCTAGACACGTAAAACTGAGTTCTGCAAGCAGTCTTTATTGGTTTTGTGGTGAAATAATCTCTCTTTTAACCCGGGAGAATTTTTTTAGCTGCCTTGGACTATCCTTCCTGTTCCTGTTTCTTCTCTCTCAATAAGAGCCCATGTGTCTATTCACTGAGTGGCTAGACCATGGTAACACCAATGAAACATTGCCATTAAATTCAATTTTGCCAGCATTGGTAGATGGCAACATTAGTAGTTCCAGCAGGATGCTGGTTGTAGTGGTGAATGATTATGGAAGAGTGATGGTAGCTGTGATCATCCAGGTGAGCATAACATTAATAACTTTGGTGATGGTTTTGTTTTTCCTTTTGCCAGGCAGGTCAAATATCTCCAGTGAGGTGCCAAGAAGTTTTTTGTGATCATACTTGGCAACTTTGCATAATGCTTCTTAAGCTTTTTGAGTTTATGGTTTGGACAGCATTCTTCATAACCCAAGTATCCCATAAACTTTTTTTTTCCTTTGGGTTTCCGCTGCTTCATTGATCCATCTACATTTGCAGAAGATGAAGTGGCTCTGTTAGTGAGTAGGTTAGGCTCTCAAGAACTGAGTGAAATTATTGAAACCTAAACATCTATTGCAGAATTTCATTAGGTCCAAATTCTTCAGAGTCTGGAGAGGCTTAGCTTTGAGGTTATCTCCCCTTCCTAATCATCCGATATCAGTTCTCCTTTTGAACATATTGGGAGTTGGAGGAGCAACTGTTGAATCATTGAAGGTGACAGTAATTGGTAATTTGACGAACTTGTCATTGGTATTTAAATCTAAAACATCCTCAATTTTAATAATCTATATCTGGTTAAAAGTGCATGTTGGCAATGAAGAACAGAAATTGTCAGGTTAACTAAAATATGATCCTTTATAACGAGCCATAATGATTCACAAGTTAATAGCATCACTGTAATTTGTATTCCAAGGAAGCAGACTGCTCAGGTATTAATACTTCCATAGGCTCCTCAATTTAATGGTGTACTCACATTGTCTAATTCTTCAATCCTTTCATCTTGGTCCAGACAGACTTCCAGAGGTTTGTCTAATGATGGATTTAGCTTATTTGTTCATCCACGTGCCGTATAATCACTTTAGCTTATAGTTTTATGGCTTGAGCTGTTGCAGGACGAAAGATGAGTGACTTATGAACTGTCAGTATGTACCAGCGCTAAACTCTGTTTCCTTGTTCAAACTACTATTGTTTCAGCATTTTGTTTAAAGTCGCTTTACTCCGCTGCTGATATAGATGTTCATATGATCAGCTAGTGTGGCTTTCAGTCATTTTACGTATTCTTACACACATTGTTGACCATCCACGCTGAATGGTAAACCTCACATTATATCCAAGGGAGTATTTCGCCTGTTCAAAACATTAACAAATTTGTTTCAGAATTTATGTCTGAAGCTAAATAAAGTTGTTTTTAATTTTGAGCTGATAGGCTAAAGGGGGGAAAGGCAGCTAGCCAACAGCACCCACTGCCAACTCTTCGGCTGCTCTTATCTGCCCCACTAATGAGATTTATTATTCATGTAGCAGTCTCCCGTTGGGGATATACAATACTAAAGTTCGGGATGGGTTTTCCCGTGGTGGACAGAGTGCAGATAGTTCCTGTGGAGTTTTATGCTAAATCAATTATATTCTTACAGCGCAGCTACGTCACCAAAGTGATGGAGCATGTTTTTGCGGAAAGGATTCACAAATGGTGAATTCTCGAATTCATAGGCACGATAATCTTTAGGCCACGTTTGTTATCGGAAAATAAATGGCGTATGGTAAATTGCCAACAAAAAAGCTTGAATGTTACTGTGACTTTCAAAACAACTATTTTTTAAAAATCTTTTAAGAATAAATCATCACCTTAGTATATAACACCGATAGATCATTTAATATTCATTTTTAATTTGGCAGTTATAGGTTAACTGTAAAATATGAAATTGTTTTAAAAGGCAAAGACCGTTTGTTTGTTTGAAGTTAAGCAAAAAGCTATACAATGAGCTATCTGTGCTCTGCCCACCACGGGTATCGAAAACCGGTTTCTAGCGTTGTAAGTCCGCAAACACACCGCTGTGCCACTGGGGGGGGGGGCGGCATAGACCGTAAACAACGTCATAATAATCATAATGAGTTAGTGTAACGTCTCCAGCATATTATTTAAATAGTATTTTTGTAGTTAAGTGAGATTGCTTTTTATATATTAAAAATTAGGATGTATTAATTCAAGATATAATTTAAGACTACCAGTTTCTAAGAAAAGTGCCAAATAATTCCACAGTATGAAGAGAATGTTGTGTTAACAATATCGAACAAGAATATCACGAAAATTTCTTACAGAATTAAAAAGAATTGACTTTTGAGTATACAAAGTATGAACAAAACGTATCACGTTCAGTTCATTTTATTTAATTTTTGCACATGCATCAAGGAAATCTAACCACGTTACAAATTAAATCTGCCCTTGAAGTTTCATGTTGACCAACAGTCTGGGTTTTAGATTCCTTAAAATAGTCAGTAATTTTATTATATTCCCTACTTGTATATGGAACGGTTTTTTTTGTAGTTAGATTGTGTTCATAATTTCTAAAGATTTTTGAATCTTTTAATCCCTAAAATCGTGAGTCGAACGTTCAGAACCTGCCATATTTTGGTGGCAACTTTGACCAGGAGGAAATCCGCTAGATCAGTTTCTCGTATAAAAACACTTTCATATGTTTAAGATTCAATCGTTTGCATCGCGAAAAAAAAAAGTGAAATTCCTAAAATGTTATGGTGTTGATGAAGTCATGTCATTTACAAGGCTACTCTTTTTTTTTAGATTTTTCAGTGACTCAGCAATAAGCTTGAGGGTTTTTACGCTAAAAATCAGGCTTTGATACCCATGGTGCACACAGCGCAGATAGTCCACTTTTGCTCAAGGTCATTCCATTTTGACTGCTTTGCACTGTGAGAATGGTTTTCAATATGTTCATGACATCTAGGGCACTGTGCAATTAACAACATGAATTCAACTATTTCTTATGACTTTCGTTGGTTGAGGTCTTTGTGAGCATATCAAGTCTATCAACTACTGAACAATAAAAAAATAATGAAAGTATTTACATTAGAATAACAAAGTATCTTAGTCTTTTATCCCTTTTGCAGTTTCCTGTTTTGGTTGTTATTTAATATTTTTGGACTACCTCTCTTTCTAATCGCGTTAACTTCAACAGGAACCCCGTCGTGACCGCATCCACAACGTTCACAATTCACGCAAACATCACACTTTCCAACTTTGCACTTACAGCTGAGACTAACTAGAGTAAACTTGACTTTAGTACACTCTCCTAGGGTTCGATGACGAGGAACCCACTTTGAGACTAATAATACTTGGAGACGGCTTGAATGGGTAATGAAGAACAACTTTAACATAAGTTTAATATAACCGCAAATGTACAACGTTTCAATAACGTTTTATCATCATCGGGTATTGAATGGGTAATGAAGAAAAACTTTAATTTGAACATAACAGCAAATGTTTGTTTGTTTTGAATATCGCGCATAGCTACACGAGGTCTATCTGCGCTAGCCGTCCCTAATTTAGCAGTGAAAGACTAGAGGGAAGGCAGCTAGTCATCATCACCCACCGACAACTTTTGGGCTACTCTTTTACCAACGAACAGTGGGATTCACCTTCACATTATAACACCACCACGGCTGAAAGGGCGAGCATGTTTGGTGGGATGGGGATTCGAACCCGCAGATTGAGAGTCGAGTTCCCTAACCACATGGCTAGGCCGGGCCTAACAGCAAATGTACAACGTTTCGACAAGGTTTTGTCATCATAACCTGATGATGACAAAACCTTGTCGAAAC